TTTATACCAACAGCAACGGTACTGGATGAACATACATTGCTAACTATGGCTGGGAAACTCTGAGCTATCTTGGCAACCGACTCGATGAAGTATTGGTTAAGCGTCTGTGCCACCTCGATTGGATTTTGCAGAGTTGAACCATTAACCTTTAATACAATTTGTTTCATTGAGGTTGGCTTTTGACCAGTTAATTTATTGATCTGTGTCCATATACTTTTCGAGTTACCATGACAGTTTTCGATGATGGTGATGAAGAAATCTGCCTTAGCTTTTTTCAGTTGCCTCGACACTCTGTTCCTCAGCATGGTAAATTTCTGTCTCTCATGGCTCAATTTGGTTTTTGTGGCTGTTTTTAAGGCGTTGTCTCTAGCCTTCATGAGTTTTATGATGTCGTCATTCACCCATGGAAGAGACTTCTTCTTGCTTTTGTGTTTAATTCTAACTGAGAATTCACTGATTTTGCTTTGTATGTTCTCCATGAGAGACTGACTGATTATTTCCACATCCTTGTCTTCTAGAATAGTATCCCAATTCAAATTAGTTATGGCAGTTTTGAAGGCTTCCCTTTTATTTTTTGGGATACCAATGTAGTCCTTGTTACCAGAATGGACCTGAAATGGACCTGAAATGTGCAACAACATTTTTTGCCAACACTAGCTATTAAACAAAAGCCAGAGACTGTGTTGTATTAAGCTGGTGTGGTGTGAGCTATAAATTTCCAAGCAGAAAAAAGAAGATAAAGTTATGTCAGACCGTTACAGTGCAGAGTCTCTCCTCCTCCAGGCTGCTGCGACTGTAGCTCTCTGTACCAGGAGTTCTCACTCCACAGCAAAATCTGGGGACCAGAGTGTCCCCAAGAGTACTGTACAACACACTTACTAGCAGAAAAAAAGGTTGCTCAACTTGAAGCAATCTTATTCAACTGAGATGATGATTCAAATCACCAACTTTCAGTGAATAGTCATAAGTGGTTCAATCAAATTCAATGTATTTCCCCAATAAATTCCAATTTTAGATTTAATGTATGTGTGCCTTTCTAAATCTATCTTCAATATGACATTTCATAACTTTGTACAGACCAAAACATTGTGATTCCTGGAAGACCAGAATATCTGACACTGTGTGAGGTGGAGGTCAATGGTCAGCCTTCAGGAAACACTCCAAATGGTGATGTGTACCATTTAAACTATCCGATAATAAGTTGACTGCCTTTTCTTTTATGGGTTTGGTCAGATCCAAATATCTAAAACTTTTGTGCCCTTCTGAAACCATATATAATTTTAAATGCTGCTTTGTACAGACCAAAATATTGCTAGAGGTGGAAGAGTGACTCAGTCGTCCTTGGGGTGGCATGGTCTTCCTGAAAGGGCCATTGATGGAAGCCGTGCAAGCATCTATGGACAAGGATCCTGTACCCACACAAGTAGACAAAGAAAGCCATGGTGGAGACTGGACCTCCTGAAGACGTATAAGATTAACACGGTCACCATCACCAACAGAAAAGATTGTTGCCACAAAAGAATCAATGGTGCCGAGATCCACATCGGAAACTCCCTCAATGACAATGGCAATGCTAATCCCAGGTAACAACACTTTCTGTCATGTATTAGGTTGAAACTTTGTACACTGGTTGTGTATGTTACAGAAATTAGTGCAATGGATATCTACATATTTTCCGAAGAGAAACCTGTATTTCTTTTCACCACAATAGCATTATCATTATCTAAAAACAACTACTAGTAAGATTTATGCAGTTTTCATTTTCTTTTACTCAAAATTCTTTTTCATTTTCTTTTTCTTCAGGTGCGCTGTTATCCAGTCTATCCCAGCTGGGACCTCCAAAACGTTTGTGTGTAATGGAATGGAGGGCCAGTATGTTAACATTGTGATTCCTGGAAGACCAGAATATCTGACACTGTGTGAGGTGGAGGTCAATGGTCAGCCTTCAGGAAACACTCCAAATGGTGATGTGTACCAGTTAAACTATCCAATAATAAGTTGACTGTCTTTTACTTTTATGGGTTTGGTCAAATCCAAATATCTAAAACTTTTGTGCCCTCCTGAAACCATATATAATTTTAAATGCTGCTTTGTCCAGGTGCTAATATTGCTAAAGGTGGAAAAGCAACTCAGTCCTCCGTGGGGTGGGATGGCCCCCCTGAAAATGCAATTGATGGAAATCGGGCAAGCATCTATGGACAAGGATCCTGTACCCACACACAAGGACAGATAAAACCATGGTGGAGACTGGACCTCCTGAAGAAGTATAAAATTGACACTGTCACCATCACCAACAGAAAAGATTGTTGCCACAGTAGGCTCAATGGTGCTGAGATCCGCATTGGAAACTCCCTTAATGACAATGGCAATGCTAATCCCAGGTAACAGCACTTTCTGTCATATGCAAGGTTTGAATATTTTACACTGGTTGTGTAAGTTAGAGGAAATCAGAGACATGCAGCAAAGGGCCACAGGCTGGACTTGAACCCAGGCCGCTGCGGCAACAGCCTTGTGCATGGGGCGCCTGCTCTACCACTAAGCCACCGACGCCCCACATCCCACAAATGTTTAATCAGACTGGGATTTGGGGAATTTGGATGCCAGGTCAATGCCTTGAGGTCTCTGTCATGTTCCTCGGGCCACTCCTGAGCAGTTTTTGTGGCATGGTGCATTGTCCTGCTGGGGGGCCAATGCTGCTGGGGAGTGCCTCTGCTATAAGGGTGGGGTACCTGGTCTGCACTGGTGTTTATGTGGGTGGATCATGTCTGGTGACAACCACATGAATTTCAGAACCCAAAGTTTGCCAACAGAACATTGCATTGTAACAAGATGATCAATGTTGTTCACATCACCTGTCAGTGGTTTTAATGTTTTGGCTGATCAGTGTACATAATTTTCACACAAAAACCTATATTTTTCACAGTAAAAGCATCACCAGTATCTAAATAGTTATACTGGTGGGTTCTATGGATAGTTTTTGTCAGGAGACATAATTTCACTCATAATTCAGTTTTTCTTTCTTTTTTTTCCTTCAGATGTGCCATCATCTCGTCTATCGCAGCTGGGACCTCCAAAACTTTTGCATGTGATCTCATAGAAGGCCAATATGTGAACATTGTGATTCCTGGAAGAAAAGAATACTTGACACTGTGTGAGGTGGAAGTCACTGGGATAGAATCAGATGATTCCTTTGAACATCCTTATGGCTGAGTCTGATCTAATTCGTCATAGTCATGTCCACTTATTTTTAAAGTTAATCTTTCCATGCTTCTTCTCCTTTAATAGAATATTTGTACTTAGGGTCAGTGACTATTAAAACAAAGTTTGATAGTCAATTTATCACATTGTTAAGACACTTTCTGCAAGAGATTTTGTTGCTTCACAGTACAAGGAATTTAACATAACTTGCACCCAATTTACAGCAGCATTGATGAACAGTTGTTTGAGGTCCTCTAATATGATATGAATAAACTCTTCTGTATAGATGTTTCCTGGGTTTATTGTTTGTGTGTACTTTAATAAAAACTGATAACCATCTCATATTTTTATGATACATATGAAACTGCTATCAGTAGCTGGCTAATTTAGCACAAGGGCTGTAAGCAGAGGCAAACAATGAGCCTGACACTGTCCAGATGTTACCTACCTTTAGCCAATCAGCTAGTATTAAACTACCTGACCCCAGCCAATCAGGTTTGTGTCTTGGGCCTGTGTGTTTGTGTGTGTGTGTGTGTGTGTGTGTGTGTGTGAAACCTACTCTCTTTATATTATTTGTGCTGGCCAATTGCCTTAAAAAGGCACATACAACCTTCTCCTTATTGCCCTAAGGCTGTTGACAGTATTCCTACAGGCCTATGTTACTCTGGACCGTAACAGAGCTACAATAATGTGTCACTAATGCTAGTATTCCAGTACACTTTATCTGTGAAACATTAAGATTGTATTGGCTTTGGCATAACACCACAAACACTGTCCAGCTGGCCACTACAGCCTTCACGTCTGAGCAAGTTAGCAACTGGGTGCTAACATTGGTCATCATTATCATTTCCAAAATTTCTTACAGTTTGACTATTTGTTTTTCATATGGGTACCTTCGGAGCATTAGGGAATGGTGATATGGAGAAAATCAAATATCACAATATTTTTGGCCAAATTCCTCAATGTCAATATTGCAGCACTATTGTAGGGTTGATTATTGGTGCGTTCACAAAAGATTTACACCGTAAAATTTTTGATAAAGAGGTAAAATGTTGGAAAAGGCAAATGACAGAACATCTTGAAAAAGTCTAGCAAGTTTAGAAAATAACATCACTTTACTGTAATGCAGCCTTTGAAACCAGGAAAACATAACACCTATGGTATTATGATGTCCAGAATCTAAGACAATATCTAGTCTCAAATCACTATCCATTAATATATTGCTTAGCTCAACAAAGAATCTCTTTCGAATAAATCTACATACAAACAATGTCACAGCAACACATGCACATATATTGTGGCAAGGATTGTTGAGCAAAAGGAAAAAAACTGTTACCCAAATCCAAGCTACTGCTCTTGTTATTTAACTTTAATATTCACATGGTTTCTCTCAGTATAACATATTCCATTACATTGCTCCACCATGTGGGTCTTCAATCAAGGCTAGCCACATTAGCCATGCAACATGCTAATGCTCAATTTAGCAGATTTACCTGCAAAAGGAACAGTAAAATAACATGGCAGCATTTACATCTTCCAAGTTTGAAGTTAGGTCATGAACAGTCTGTATTGAATCATTCTTAAAGTTCAGTTTTGAAGGGAATCCTGCTCTGTACTGGTCCTAGTTAAGAAATAGTTTTCCAATTGTTGCGGACACATTTTAGTGAAAATTAAATTAAATCTTCCTCAGATGATGGAAATATAGGGAAACCTGTCTGTTGGTTCTTGCATCTGACTACAGAACAAGTACTGTGCTTTACTCATACCATGTTGCCATATCCACAATATAGAAAATAACACATGGTAAATTAATTTACTTGGTAGGCCCACTCTATGGGCAGAATAGTCACCTAACTGGAGTGGGTTCACTGTTTCTGTGAACTCCACAGGATATATATAAGTGCTGCAAGTCTGACTAGCTTGTTGGTACAAAGGCTATTTTCTTTTCTAATACTTGGGGGTCTCTAGACCCACCGGGGACCAATATTTATGTTGAGAAGTGCTCTTTTTATTCAGTGCTTTAGTGCTTACCAGCCGTGCTAATTTGCTGTTATTGAATGTTTGCACTGTGTTGTTTTGAAATCTTGTTACTAAGTAATTATCATTCAGATGCAACTGTGTTTAAAGAAAGCAGTCAAAGTGTATTTAGTAAGTGTGACAGAAAAACACGAAATGCTGCCTGTCTAATTACTAGGGTTTGGTTTTATTTGGGTTTGTTCCAATACCAGGTGCCAAAACAAATGGTATAGGTGCCTTTATAGTGCCTGAACCAATACTTAAAAATATAAATAAGGCACAAAATGACAGTCAAGGACATTAAAGACTGGCTTTTTGATTAAAAAGACAAAATTTAAAGAGGCAGCAGACAGCATCTTTTCCTAAATATATATGAAAATAATGTGGGTTGCACAGGGTAGTGGCCACAGTAAAATCCGACTATCAGCATTTCCATAGGTTAGGCTTAGTGGCTTTGCAATCTTTGTAATAAGCTTCTGCCACTGGTGCAGAAGTTTCGCGGAGAAAATCTGCTTTACGGCAGGAAACGCGTCATGTATTGCGAAACTGGTCAGTCAGCCAATCAGGGACTGGAGCTGGTTCTTGAGGAGTTGGGCATGAGATAGTTGAGTCACAAGCACAATGGCAGACGGACAAAGTTTGGAGACAAGTGAAAAACGGCCTAGCAAAAGAAAACAAGCTCCTCTGTCTACGGAGGCAAAGAAGAGTAAAAAGGAGAGTGATAAAAGAAGAGGAAAAACAAGAGTAAACCTCAGTCAGGCGTTCAAGAGATGGAGGGAGCTCCGTGACCAAAGAGGCTTCAAAACCCACGTCCAGCTAGCTTTCTTTCTAATGGATCAATAAGTAACAAGGCTAAATGTTAGCTAGCCAAGAGACGACTGTACTGTACTGGCTGCTAGTTAACTCCTAGCTGGCCAGCATTGCAAATTGCCGCAACCAGGGACCGGGTAGCGAGTGTTGGTCGGCTGACATCCTCGTTGCCATTCTACGGCAGCCCTTGGACAGTGATACCCCCCTCCCTTCTGTTCTCTTCTCACGGTGGCAGCTATTGACGGACATCGCCCAGCTAAGTTATGCCCAGCTAAGTGAACACTGAACTCTGTTTCCTATTCAATTTGAGCTCCAACCGGCCGCATCCTTTCCATACGGTACCGTTTATTCTAGAATCGGGACTGCTTACATATTGATGCATATTGGTATAATTCCACTTTAGAACATGGCACTCTTAAATACTTGATTCTGATTGGTCAATCAACAAAATTCTGGGGTGTTTATTTCTTGAGATATCACCGCTGCTCTGCTGCTCCATTGCTAGGGACGGCATAGCAACGGCCTTAGACTGGGAAGCATCAAAATCAGTTAACGTTAATCCACACAGCTCTCCCAAGCTGGCCTGGAGAGGGAGATCATGTCGGTCACTGGCCATAAATGTGAGGGCAGCATTCGCAGCTACTGGGCACCTAGTCTCTATATACAGATTCTACATTCAGTGAATGTAGAGTCTGTAGGCAAACCCCGGAGATCTTCCCTCCAGAAGAAGAGTGGAAGAGCCCTGGTTTCTTGGGCTCTTCCCCTGAAACTTTGCCATGTTATACATCAAGGCAGGGTCAAACTGTGCTCCATAGCTCTCATCCAGGCTCCTGAGCTCTGCTTCAGAAATGTCTACTTGAATTGTGGGAACAGTTGAGAATCTAGCAATGCAACAAACAGCAGCCTTTTGTGATCGTAACTTTGATGCTGACTGAACTGTACATCTAAGATCTTATTTTGTAAGATTCCAGAGAGCACATCAGCAAAGTCAAAAATACCAATGAAGGCAAAAAGAAAAAAAAAAGAAGACGTCAAAGCTTCTCAAATGTGATAAGTGTCCTGATGCACAGTGTACTGACTCTTTTGTCATGGACCGTAAACACCAGCCTGGAGTTAAAGTTCCACCTCACCTGAGAGACTCGTGGCAGCCTTCTCTCGCAAAACTCATCCAGTAATTTGGTGCATATATAAAAACATGTAAAATACGCAGACAATCCTCCCAGATTTGAAAAAAAACTTGCAGTCTTTAATTTTTGATGTTCCCTGGAACATCACAAGATTTAATGTATGTGCATAANGACTGTACTGTACTGGCTGCTAGTTAACTCCTAGCTGGCCAGCATTGCAAATTGCCGCAACCAGGGACCAGGTAGCGAGTGTTGGTCGGCTGACATCCTCGTTGCCATTCTACGGCAGCCCTTGGACAGTGATACCCCCCTCCCTTCTGTTCTCTTCTCACGGTGGCAGCTATCGACGGACATCGCCCAGCTAAGTTACGCCCAGCTAAGTGAACACTGAACTCTGTTTCCTATTCAATTTGAGCTCCAACCGGCCGCATCCTTTCCATACGGTACCGTTTATTCTAGAATCGAGACTGTTTACATATTGATGCATATTGGTATAATTCCACTTTAGAACATGGCACTCTTAAATACTTGATTCTGATTGGTCAATCAACAAAATTCTGGGGTGTTTATTTCTTGAGATATCACCGCTGCTCTGCTGCTCCATTGCTAGGGACGGCATAGCAACGGCCTTAGACTGGGAAGCATCAAAATCAGTTAACGTTAATCCACACAGCTCTCCCAAGCTGGCCTGGAGAGGGAGATCATGTCGGTCACTGGCCATAAATGTGAGGGCAGCATTCGCAGCTACTGGGCACCTAGTCTCTATATACAGACTCTACATTCAGTGAATGTAGAGTCTGTAGGCAAACCCCGGAGATCTTCCCTCCAGAAGAAGAGTGGAAGAGCCCTGGTTTCTTGGGCTCTTCCCCTGAAACTTTGCCATGTTATACATCAAGGCAGGTTCAAACTGTGCTCCATAGCTCTCATCCAGGCTCCTGAGCTCTGCTTCAGAAATGTCTACTTGAATTGTGGGAACAGTTGAGAATCTAGCAATGCAACAAACAGCAGCCTTTTGTGATCGTAACTTTGATGCTGACTGAACTGTACATCTAAGATCTTATTTTGTAAGATTCCAGAGAGCACATCAGCAAAGTCAAAAATACCAATGAAGGCAAAAAGAAAAAAAAAAGAAGACGTCAAAGCTTCTCAAATGTGATAAGTGTCCTGATGCACAGTGTACTGACTCTTTTGTCATGGACCGTAAACACCAGCCTGGAGTTAAAGTTCCACCTCACCTGAGAGACTCGTGGCAGCCTTCTCTCGCAAAACTCATCCAGTAATTTGGTGCACATGTAAAAACATGTAAAATACGCAGACAATCCTCCCAGATTTGAAAAAAAAAACA